TTCTTTTGAGGAAGTTCAGATTCTGATAGTGTCTAGTTAATGAATTTGATTGCATGTTAACTGAAAGGTGGAACATGGAGTCACAGAAAGTATGGATGGAGTTGTCACAAATGTAATGACCTTCCTTGACCTTCCTTTTCTGCTGCCTAGTGTTTCTTTCCACATGCCCAGTATGTGGGCACAGAAACAGTGACTCTCCTAAAGCCCTTCTGATTCCCAGTTCCCTCTAGAGAGGCTAGAGGAGCAGACCATCTCTGAGTTCCAGCTGGTGAGCCCTTGTAAGCTTCCTTTATGTTATATCTTACACTGACACTTTTCAGTATGGACAAAATGAGAGTTAGGATATTAACATGGTGTTTTTGTGGCTATAAAGAAAACATAAATGCTCTGTCAGCAGTGAACTGTGTAAAGTTAACTGTCGTGTGGTACTACAGTATGTATATTGCAATTGTAATGTCTCTCTGTTCCAACTTGTGCATTTCAGTAGAAGATTTTATGATTCTGATACTATACAATGTTATGAACAAAAAAAGAGTTAATTAGGCTGAGATACTTGGATGCCAGAGGATGGTGGGTAATGCACAGTCATGTATTAGATAATTCTAAACAAATGGCAAGAAAATTCATTTTAGGTGCTTTCAGGTGGATGTTGTAATTGGCAGTGTAGGTGTACAGGGTTTGGAAAGGAAGAAGTTTTGGTTGGGTCTTGAAGATGGCAGGGGAGAAGGGAGGGGAAACCAGGTGCTGCTTTATTAGAGAAGTCTGATCTTTAGTTAACTCAAATTTTGAACTTCTTATACTTAAGGAATTGAAGTGGTGTTAATGGAGATGCTAATTAACTGTGATAATTGCTAAGGAAAGTTGACTGTATTGGAAAATGGAGTATTCTTATTTCAGCCTCTGTTCAATCTGTTTTTCAAGTCCAGGATAGTTTTGAGCTTTTGTTGCACTTCAGTGTGTCTTGGATTCAGCAGTTGGGATATGGAAACAACTTACAAAAACATTCAAATGAGTCCTAGTGGAACAGAATCTCAAATCTGCAGTAGGCATTAAGTCAATTTTGAATTGGTTCCCAGACCTTTGCTCTTTGTGCTTTCTGGTGATTTTAATGCATTAGTAAGGAAGATGTGATTTTTGTTGGAAAGGTTAGGAGATAGCTGCGATATTTTAACCTTGACTCTGACTTGCCCTATGACTTGTTAATCACTAGGGAAGACTTGCTCACACAGTTGCACCACTACAGTTTTATATAGCTGTAGGGCTGATGCCCTTGTTGGCCATCTTCCAGTTAGGAGTAGCTCTTTCCAGCTTCATCTGCTTTCAAAATAATGATTAAACTGAGGAAGCTCACTGTGATTGTGCAGTAAACATTTCCATGGGGAGTTCTGAAACCCAACTGGAGTATTTATAACACAATATGAATTTCCTTATGGTGCATCAAAGATATATATCAGCAATTCCTAAATCTGAAAATAAGCTAATAAGGAGTGCAAAACCAAGTCTTCGTTCCTCTTTCCTGAGGAAAGTGTAGCTAGTAGGGAAGGTCTAACTGTAAGAGGAGAAGGTGAGAAGTTGCCATGAGGAGCTGTCTCGAAGGACAGTAGTGTGCTCTCTCCCTTGTCAGGCCTGTTTCTGGGTCTGGACTAGTCTTGGCAATCTTGTTCTCATGATCAGCTTTGCCAGGCATGCAGTTGGGAGATGTAGAGCTGGTGGCAAGTCACAGCCACCTTGGAGTTGCTTGGGGTTGGGCTTTGCAAATTATCATTCAAGTGAGGGGAACCTCCCTGTTTTTAGAGGTAGACCTCTGCTTGTGGGTTGCTTTCTGGCCTTTTAAACATCCTCAACAACTTTCCCAGACAGCTTGAGCTGGCACTGCTTGCTTGGCTGGATTGTCAGATTCCTCGGTGAGAGCTGTGCATGGATTTAACCACATACTAAAACCTTGCTGCCTCAGTATAAAAAGGTAATTTGGTAATATGGTTGTCATGTGTACATACAGTGTTTAAGCCCTTGACTTGTTTGAAGTGCCTAAAATTCTTGTTCCCCAGAGTATCATCTGCTTTGGTCTTGTAAGCTTTCCAACAGCAAACAGCAGTTCAGCAGTCCTTTTGTATGCTCATTCCTGAAGTTTGGGTACACATCCAAACATAAAGTGTGATTATGTGTAAAACGGAATGGAGGTCTGGGTGGTGAGCCCGCACCTGTAATTACCCTGCACCATCAGCATGCATTTGTGGCCAGCTCTGTCAAGGCCCATGTCACTTGTCCTGGTGACATGAGGCAGTTGCTGTTGCTGGAGGAGCCACGATGAGTTTTTATGCAGCTGATGGCAGCTGAGGTAGGACAGGGTTCCTGATGGATGGAGCGTGTGGGTGCACAGTGTGGGGGAGCTGCAGCTCAGGGAGGCCCAGGGGCCCCTCCTGGAGGAGCTGCTGCCTGGCTGTGTTTGCCTATCGGGGCCAGCTGCAGGTGGGTGTGACTGCTGCAGCTGCTCTGATACTCCTGCAGAGCCCTTGGGGGCACAGCCTGAAATGGGGGCTTGCTGCTGAGCTGATACACCATGTGGGCTTTGAGAGTCTGCACAGTGAATTTGAGGGGTTTGTTGGTGGGCTGGATAGAATTGGCTTCACAATATTTTATTGATATAATAGGTATGTTATTGGCTCTTTCTCATGTTTGGGAAATGCTTGTTAGATTTAGGTGTAAATACACCTGGCGGTGTATTTAGGCCACTACAGTATTTTAAAATCACCATGTATGTCTTGAGCATGCTGAACAAAATGTAGTGATAATGCACCTGTGGTACAGGATTATTAATTAATTAATTTACAGGTAAATTAAATTGCATTGGTGCTTTCTGGTGTTCTGAAGGGAGTGTTCAAACAAAACCATCTGGTAAATTTTCATCTAATTTTTTTCCTTGAAAAAGGGAGATGATTTTACCTCTTAGCAGAAATTAATTAAAATATGTCTGTGTTGAACAACCAGCAAAAATACATTTAAAAAATTTAATGATTTTTACCTCAGTAGAATGATGAAGTAAATAAATACTAAAAGAATGACTAATACAAAAATATTAAACAGCTATTTTGTTTAATCTTAGACACATGATCAATAATAATAGACACATGATCAGTGTCTAAAAAAATAGAAGTGTTGGTGTAACTGGAGCACAGCCTCATAATTATGATATACTGCTTATATCTTGGAGGGCAATCAAATGCATCTGTACATGGGGTTTTGTTGTTAAGCATGTGCATCACAAGTGTGTCCTGGTTGGAAGTATTGCTTTGACAAGCCTAACTTTCCCCCATGCTAAGTCATTCTGCCTGGCTCTGAGCATGCAAGATATTTCTGGTGCAGGATTATGGTCTAGCTTTTGAAAAACTGTATTTGAGTGTGAGACTTGCTCTGTTATCCTTACTTTTTTCCCCTTATATCTTTACAGAGAATAACGTACAGCTTTAGACAACATAATGTAGGGAAAGGTTTTGAGGTAGTGCTGGTTCCGGTTGCAGTAACTCGTGTTTGTGCAAATTGACCTTTAACCTTTGTAGGGTACTAAATAGTTTGGTGGTGGTGTACCTCTTTTTGCTTTTGTGATGGACTGTTTTTCTAACTTGCAGGGTTAAAGGTGGGGAGAAAGAAGATTAAAATAGCAATTTTGTCACTGCTTGTTTAGTTAGAAAGCTAGGAAGAAAGAATTTGCATTATAATGGCTCTCATTTTGCACCATACTGTGTCATTTAGTTGTGTTCTGTGTCTGCAGCTCTCGGAAGACTTGGAAACAATTATTTTTTTATGACTCCATTCACTCCTACTTATCAGTCCTTTACTGTTCTTTACTGTAATTGCCCATAAGATAAAGTCTTTGCCATTTTCAGATCACTTTGACTTCTTATTTACTCTGAATACTAGATTGCTGTACAACTTGTGAAGCTGGTGGTACTTCATGAAGTACCTCTGGGTATTGAGAAACTTCTCAGTAGGGAAGGGGAAAGTAAAAGCTGGGAGAGTGTTATATTTGCAATATCTTGGTTTTTCCCTGAAATGTGTAATAAAATTACTTAGTTTGGTGTGATTTACGTGAACATTTGGAACTCTTAGAAAATCCCATCAAGAATAATGGAAGAGTTTTTTCTTGCTTAGAGATCTTAGAGAAATGGGAGGCCTTAAGAGCAGGAAATTTAAAAGAAGGTTGCAGTGTGGAATGAGTATTCTTGTTTAATTGTAGATGGAGCTGTTCAGGTGACTTGAGCTTAGGCACAAATACAGATCTGAAAGATACTGAGAATTATCTCCTTTCTCGTTTCAGCTGTTGAAGTGTTTTCACATTGAGGAAAACCAAGTTGCCTTGAAGAGTAGTTGGTAGGGAGGCCAGAAGCAGGTGGCCATTTGGGAAGTGCTGCTTTTGGTGTTCTAGATGTCAGTACCTTTATTGCAGAGACAGGTGCTGGAAAATTTAGTCCGCTCAGTATGCACAAACAGAAATAGTAACCTAGAACTAATAACAAGTAGTCTCAAAAGAAAACAACAGTTTTAAGAAAACAGCATTGCTTCAGTAAACTTAAGACCTGATTTTATGCATCTAACCATGTAGGCTGTTGATAAGCCTATTTAAATTTTCTGATCTAATGTTGAGGAGAAAATGTCTGGTAATTTCTGCATTGGTATGTTAGGACTCTTAAAAGCATCAAAATTATAAAGGCTGTTTGTTTGCTAGTAATGAAATAAAGTTTGAGAGTTAGACCAGTGAAGGGACATACTGCATTACTCTAATTATAAAATCAAAGTGAGTTTTATGCTATGTGAAATAGAAATGTGCATGTGATCTATTGAAATACTTCTGCATCTGAACTATGGTTCACCTGGCTGTGATCCAGATTTGGGACAACTTTCCTTCTCCCTTTCCCACTTCTTTGCCCTTCCACCTCCTTAGAATGCAGATGTTGATTACTGTGAAATCAGACATGGTGAATAGTCTTTCTCTTTTCTTTCAGGGACCAGTTACTCTCCACAAGAAAATTCACACAACCACAGTGCTCTTCATAGTTCAAATTCCCATTCTTCTAATCCCAGCAATAATCCAAGCAAAACTTCTGATGCAGTGAGTATTTGTGATTGATTTTTATCAGTGTGTTGCCCTGTTCATACACGATATTTTCATAATTTTGTCTAAGACAGGGAGCATATACACTGTGCTTGAGTTTTCCAACATCAGTCTTTATTTTATAAACACTCTGTAAACTCAACCTGCAGTTGTTATATGTTTTAAAACTATTCTGATTGGTAATCTTAGAGCTTTGATTTGCCTGCTATTCATTTTAAAATATTAGATTGTTTAAATGACATGGAAACAGAAGTATTTTCCATGAACTTTGTGGTAAATCTAGAGTAGACAGTGTGATTTAACTTATTTGAAATGCATTACATATTGTGAATTTTAGTCACTTCAGTATCAAAATTTTAGTAGTTATAGTGGTGGTATTAAAAAATTGCCCAAAACCAAAATTGCTAAATTTGTAATCAGTGGAAAAATTTTGGAAAGATAATAATTCTGAGGATGTTGTAAGGTGAAGGAAACTAATGTTATCAGTATTGATATCCCTTTAGTATCCCACTAAAAGTACTACTAGAGTTTGTTAAGGGGTTTGATGGGAATAAACCAGAGGAAACTGTTGCAGAATGCAGGAGGAGCGTACTGGGCTTGTGTTCAAGCTGTTATTTAGAGGTGGTGGAAAGCAGTGACATGGGTACATAAAAGATGCCATGTAGTTTTTAAGACAGTGAAAGCTGTTAAATTTGTATATTAAAATTCTCAAGTAGTCTTTTGTCCAACACTGTTTTGTTTTAAAGGCTTATGATTCTGCGGATGATTGGTCTGAGCACATCAGCTCTTCAGGCAAAAAGTACTACTACAACTGCCGGACAGAAGTTTCCCAATGGGAAAAACCAAAAGAGTGGCTGGAAAGGTACATGTTTGTATTTGTTTTAATTGTATAAAGAACAAATACTCTTAAGCACATTTCAGAGCACTTGAGCTTATCTAATAGATTACTGCCATAAAAGATTGTGCTCTAAGTCTGCTGTGTTCCTACCCTTACCATGACCTCTGGCACCTCTTTTATCCCTTGACAATCCAGAGCCTGAGAGGGAAGTATGGTTGGTTTGTGTGGAGGTGATTTGTTGGGGGAGTTTTGTTGTTTGGTTGGTTGGTTTGGTTTTTGTTTTGTTCTGGGGTTTATTTATTTGTTTCGTTGGATTTTTGTTCTAGTTTTCTGGGTGAGTGTTGTTTTTAATGTTTTGTTTCAGGGTGGGTTTTTTGGGTGGATTTTTATTTTGGACAAGATTAGTGAGCTGAATTGGTGTATTGTGGGCTTCAGCAAGAACGCATGTAAGGAAGCAGTGGCTGGGGTTTGCTAACCCCACCTGTAGCAGCAAGCTCTTACCAGTTTAATTCATCTCATGTAACTTATAGAAACTGTTTTATTATTAGATAATGTACATTTTTACCTAACTTTTGTTTTCTTTTCTTCAGAGAGCAGAGACAAAAAGAAGCAAGCAAAATGTCAGTTAACAGTTTTCCAAAAGATAGGGATTACAGAAGAGAGGTGATGCAGGCGACAGCTGCCAGTGGGTTTGCCAGTGGAAGTATGTGGTTTTTTTACAGCAATATATTCTTGCCTTGTTTGCATTACTGTTTTCTTTTCCAAACTTCAAAAGCAATGAAAAATCCCTTTCCTTAGCTCTTTTTCTCACCTTTTCATATATAAAAGCCAAATGGTTAGCACAGTTAACTCTCCCAAATGTGGTTTCTTTAAATAACTTCACTAGTGCAAGATATGCTTAATGCTTTTCATGGTTCTCCTCCTTTTTGTGGCTTTTACTGTCAAGTTTAATTATCTTCATGGGTAGTTACTTAAACAAGTTGCATCATCTGTAATTTAGTTGGACTGTTGTGATCATTGAGACCTGCTAATCTCATATTCTGACCTTAAAAATAAAGATTTCACATCTAAAAATAATAACCTAATTCAATGGATTTTGATATCAGGGTTTTCAGAGGCTTGTGTGTGTTATTGAGAGCATATTTTTACCTCACCAGTACTCTTAGCAAAATCTTCCCTGGACTGTAAATTTCTGTAACTTGCAGATTTTTATTCTGATAGCTAGCTTTAATCTGTGTCAGTTTTTTTCTGGTAGATAGTTGTACTGTGAGATCCTGTCTGTATCCTGATGTAGTTTGGATAAATTTGTAGCGTACGTCTCAGGGTAGTTTAAAAGCAGAAGCCAAAGCATTATTCTTCACCCACGCTCTTGGGATTTGACAAGGTGATGTGTAAAGGGGTATTTTTCTGTGTACACTGAAACTTCCTCTGCATGCTAAAATATACTGGATGCTGCAAAAAGATAGCAGTCATGCATAATGCAGTGAGTGTTTGTTTTGTGACAGGTGAAAATGTAAGAATCTATAAAAGAATTACTCTCTGTTTACTTGGTATGTTCCCTGAGTAGCATATTTTAGTCTATGATCATGTGACCAGTGCAGATGAGTCATTCATTTAATATATATAAATGCCTTGAATTAACTGTAAGTAAGCTTGTTGTAGTAGTACTCAAGTGCCATGAAGAGGAATTCTTTGAAGGCTAGAATGTGAAACTATTAAATGATACTTGATGTTCAGGGATTTTAATGAACAAAAGAAAAATGGCATAAATTATCTCTTCACACTAAATACAAGATGGAAATAATAGATCTTGATTTAGATCTTTTTAGAAGACTTCAAAAGTTAACTTGACTGTAACACTCATTATAAAGCAGCCTTTCATCAAAATACAGTGCTTAACTGGAGCTCTAAATCAAGCAAAGGTCAGAGAAAATGCATTTTGTCAGTGAGTAGAATTAGATCAGCATCAAAAAAGGCAAAATTTACTTGAAGCTTTTTTAATCATAAGTTCAATCAGCTCTAGTTGTTGGTGTGCAGCTGTATTAATCAGTTACTGCAATCTTAGACTTGTTTCTAATTTAATCTTTTTTTGTTGTTTTTGTTTTATTGCAATGTTACTTGGGGAATCCTGAAAAAAGTGGAAGACAAGCATTCCAGTGACACCAGCAGTATGCTCCCACAGAATATTTTATCTCAAACGAGCAGGCACAATGACAGAGACTACAGACTGCCAAGAGCAGAGACTCACAGTAGTTCTACTCCAGTGCAGCATCCCATCAAAACAGTGGTTCATCCAACTGCTACCCCAAGCACTGTTCCTCCTAGTCCATTTTCTCTACAATCTGATCACCAGCCAAAGAAATCCTTTGATGCTAATGGAGCATCTACTTTATCAAAACTGTCTACATCCACATCTTCCATCCCTGCACAGAAAACAGAGAGAAAAGGTATGTCTAATGGAATTCCCTCTAGTATTCAAATGATTAATTGCATTACATTGCTTGTTCAAAGTATGTTAGTACTAGACTTTCATGATTTTTTCCTTTTTGATTATATGTGCTTTTAGAACCTGATTACTGTTTTGATGTGTTTACTTTCCCCCAAACCCAATTTGCTGTGTCTTATACAACTTCAAATTGACACTGTGATATTTACTATTTATGGCCTTATTCTGCAAATTAACATTTCAAATGAATTTTTGTAGAACATATTTTAATTCTTGATTTCTCTCTTGTTGTTTTGGATCTTTGCCATTTGTTTGAGTTGTCATGTAGTTACACAATTTGAAAGTCATTTTGGACCATTATGTTTTATGAACTGCTGTTATTGTTTGGAATGCCAGTGTCAAACCTTTCAATCAGCACAAGCACAGTTCTTACAGAAAGCGAGAGTTTTCTACATTTTTGTAGGAGCTAATCTGTTTTGATCTGTATCTTGAGAAATATTGAATCTTCAATTCTAAATCTCATAGTATGTGTTTCTGCTACCTGGTAATACCTGGTAGATCCAGTTACAGTTGAGTGAAGATCAGGGCTCCACTGTGCATTGTTTATGACCTCTCAGACCTTGTCTTTTAGTCAGATTTACTTCATTGTTAGGGATGAAGAGCTCAAGAAGATTGTGAGAATGAGGTGTGTGTCATTAATGATAGTGGATTACTTTGGTGTAGTAGAGTTTTCAGAGTGGTGCTGTGTAAGAAAATTCTATTTTGAGGGCTTTGGGAGGGAGAAAATTATTTTTGCTAATCATGTTGTGTTTTAATTTAAAATATTGTGTACTTAATGTGTAATTGAATTCTCTTTTTTAAAGATGGCTTGTTGCCCTGTCCATACTTGCAAGTTGGCCTAGTTAAATAGTTTTAAAAAGAAGGCCAAAACAGGCTCTGGTCTGACAGACTCTGGTCTGACACCAGTCGTGTGCTCTGTGTTTGTTTTCGACTCTTCCACTTTTGTTTATTAAAGAGTTCCAACTTCTACACAGACTTAAGAACAGGTGGCCACACAAAATATTCGAACAATAGCATACACTGACAAATACTGTAAGGTAATTGTGCATGTAAAGAAATTTTTTAATGTTTTTTCTTGACACTTTGTGCATTTTCACATAACCTGTGTCATTGATACTGACTGTAAACTACAGAGGAACAGGTTATTTTCAGCAAGCCTTTTCCTATTCAGCGCAGTAAAGGACAGAGTAAGGTGTTCTAGTTCAAGCATGGTTCTTGTACTGAGAGCAGTGGTTACCTGTTTCAGTGAAGCCTCGATTTTCTGACTGCAGTTTGATGCACTTGTGCACATCACAGTGAGAACATCTGTGTCAGATGTTCTTTCCTTTAGTATATCAACTCTTTCCATTTCTATATTTAAAATACACTTAAACCCTCTCTTGTTATTACTCAATTCTGGCATGTTCTTGATTCCCATTTGGTGTGTGATCAGATTTCATACTGGGTATTCTTTTGCTGCTTTACTGCACATCTTCATAATTGCAGAGATGACTCTTACAGAAATTGAAGGAACTTCCCATCCTGACAGCTGCTACAGATGTTGGCAGAGAGTTCAAATATTTCTTACATACAACATTAATTTGAGGACATACAGCTGGGAATAATATTGAAAACAATCATACAGGGCAGTCTTGTAAATCTAGATGTTAGAATCCATGGATGGTTCCATATTAAATAATTTACTGAATTTCTGTATTCTTAGATATTTTTTAAATTTTATATGGGTTAAATGAATAGATTCTCTGTAATAATCATGCCTCATTGATCTGTTTCATGGCACTTGATTGTGACCAAATACTGTACTGAGCTTCAGAAAAGGGTCAGTTAGAGAACGTTAGTAAATAATTGAAGAATTAGAGTAGGTAAATGTTGGGCTTGAAATTCTTACTGTAGAAAATGTGAGTTTTCACACGTTGCTTTGCCTCTTGTACAAAAACAGAAGACTTCAGTGCGGGTGCTGTCATGATAAAAGCTCAACAGTACATTCAGTTGACTTTCCTTTTTCTGGTGAATGTTGGACTGTCTTTCTAAGAAATTAAACCAGTAAATTTTCCATAGCATTTTACATATCTAATTTTTTTAAAAGGGAAGCAGGAGTGCTTTGGATGATTTACTGTTACTCATTCTCTCAGGTGTGACTCTGAACCTGTAGTACTGGAAGTATGCAGTTTATAAAATATTTTTTGTAGCTGTTTTACAAATTGAAAATACAATAATTGTCCTGAGACACTCGGTTCAAGCAGTCTTCTAAAAGTCTTTGCAGAACTGAAAAATAGTTTGAGAGGTTTATGTTTACAGTAGTAAAGCAAATAGCATTTGATCTTCTTTTTCTGTTCACTGACTATGCCATCCCTCTCTCTTTCTAAAAAGAGGTAAAACTATTTTTTTGCCTAAAAAAATAGATTGGTCCAAATGACTGAATAATATGTGCAGTAGTCCTTCCTTAAATGAATTCTTGCTTCTTGTGAATGTGTTGCTGGCTGCCTTATGCCAGCATATATGTACCACTATTTTAATAGTTCTGATTTCAGTGTGTATTTTTTAAGCGGTAATGGTTTTGAACAGAAGAACAACAGAAAAACACAAAACCCAACGACAATGCTTTTTTCAGCTCAATCTCTTTTGCTGCAGGGGTATGTTGTAGTCCCACAAGGAGATTGAATAAAATCCCTGGCTGAACTATAGCTCAGCTGTTAGCAGTAGTCCTCTGCCCTCAATGGCTGGCAGTAGTGGAGAGTTCCTGGGGAACTATTTGACCTCTACCCTTTGGTTTGAATGTTCCAGTCAGAATCTGCTGCTTCTGTTTGTGCTCACTGTGAGTGCTTTATGCAGGTAAAGTGTGGGGTTGCTTTTCCTACTTTTTGGCTGCTTTATCTGTAGGGCACATCACATTTTCCTATTTCTAATTCAGAATGAAATGTTGTATTGTCCATATCTTAACAGTGTGTCTGTCTGTGGGATGCTGCTTCTCACACCTTTCCTCCGAGTCCCATCAAGGCAGCACTTCTGTTTCTAGTGCAGCAGTCCTCTAAAACTTCTGTGAGAGCACAGCAAGCTGGCCAGTGCAATGCTGGGTGGGCTGTGACTCCAGTGCTTCTTTTCCCTTTCTCACCCTTGTGGTTTTCTTGTAACACTTGCTAGCTTTAGTGGTCAGTTATTAACATTGCTTCTGGTATTGTTGCATCTTCTTTGGCTGAGTTTTGCAGTTCCAAGTACATTACTCAATTCATATGTTGGTTAGAAAAAGTTACATGTGAGAATATGTTTCTTCCAGTACTTTCTACTTGTTTGATGAACATTGCTGTTACATTTATTTTGACAGCAGAGGTAAAATACAGAAAAAATTCAGTTTTAAGACTGGAGTAATCCAAATGTGAGAAATAGGGATTTTTTTTTTTTTTTTTGTATTTTAGGTAATTTGAGTATTTTTGAGACTCAAGTTGATATTGTTACTATAGTTCCATTTGGCCAAATGTGTTTACAGAATGCATTGCTTTTAAATATTTATGTATTTTGGCTGTGGCTTGCAGTCCTTAGTAGATCAGAACTGAACTGTAAAACAGATAAATGTGATGTCAATGCTCAGAGAGCTTGGTTGGTGGACTGTGCACTCCACATTCTTCAGCACAGAAAATGTGTTATGATTCTTAATCATGAGCAGAAAATGAAGCAGTTCTGTTAGCTGTTCTGGGTAGTAGTTTTTATTCAGTAAAGCAGAGATGAGGTTTAGAGGGCGACAGGATACAAATTTCTGAGAATTTTGTGATGTAGTTTTTCTCCTACTGAGAGCGCACTGTGAGAGCACTAGTGCCTAATAGTTGCTAGCAGTGCAAAGATAACAGCTCAAGCTCACAAGAGAGTGAGGTAATGTTTCCAAAGGACTTTGGATGCATTTGTTTTGTTTTAAATGGGATAAAAATTACATCAGTAGTAAGAGCTATAGGAACACTCAAAGGGTCATTTTAATAATTTAGGAATCATCTAGTCAGCAGTACTTGGTAATTTCCATGTCATTAAAAGTAAGTCTTTGTTGCTATAAATCAGAGTAAGAACAAGCTAATATATAGCATTAATTTAAAGCTAGTCATGCAGGGAGTGCAAGTATGTTTGCTGTCAGAAAGAGGGCTGTCAAGTCCTTTCTTCACAAAAAAGGCATTTCCCAGTTTTGTTCTTTTTTCCCACCTCTCTGTCACTCTCATGTGCCTGATGAGCTCTGCACACCCTGGTCAGGAGGGAGGGTGAGCAAGTTCCAGGTGCTCACAGGGCTGCACACACACAGCAGAGGTGTGGGACTGGCAGTGTCAAACCTCTGCATTGAAGCAGAGTAGGTGAACAGCCAGAAGGCTTCAATTTCCACCCCCTTGCATTCAAGTCTTGTAGGCTCAGGGCTGCCTTTCATCATGTCAGTCCTGGCAGATCAGCTGTTTGCTTAGGTGCAAAAATTCTTGTCATGATGGGCAGAGATTGGTGATGGCAAGATTCTGTAGTGTGTTTATGTACTGACTCAAACTGAGAAGCTAAGGGTGCTTAGAAAAAAAACTGAGGATCATTTTGGCACAGCTGCTGAAAATGATCTGTTTTTTGATTTTTTTCCGAAAAGATTGTTTGGCCATTATTTAATAACCATTTAATAATCATTTATTTGGCCATTATTTAATAACCCATCATGGGTTGTTAAAAAATTCCCACTGCTTGGAAGAATCACACCAGAATATTCCCATTGTGACTTGACCTGGTGTTTCTGCTTCAGCAAAAACTTTGGCAAACCTCTTCACAAAACTTAAAAGAAACGGAGTCTTTGTCATACAGGTTCTTGTCATGTGAAATGCTGACTGATAACTTGGATTTCTTTCTTTTTTGTCCAGAAGATGTGATTGTGGGTCACACTCCTAGCAGAGAGGGTTATGGATAGAAAGCTCTTCCCTAATCACTGTGGTTTTC